AGCAGGAATTTTTCCTTTGTTGAATGTTCTGGGAATTGGAATGTTAAAGATGTCAGTTCATGAAATGTAAGTCAGTTGTGAAGAGTGGAGTGGACAAAATACAATCCATGGACATCTGCTTCTGCAAAGAGGGCTACTAAGAATTAGGTTTACCCTTCCACCTGAAACAATTTTTAAAAAAAGACAACATATGTGGAAGAATGGTTTTTCAAGAAATGAAGACATCGAGAAACATTGGGCATCAAGAAATGAAGACAGTGCTCTCTAAGAGACAAGAAACAAATGAAGTAAGCCCGACGATTGCCTCACCTTACTGCATTGAGAGGGTTTCCAGGTAGACCTGATGGGTTCCTTGGGTTGAGGAGTTGACTAAGGATCCAAGGATACCAAGGCAGCTATAATTAATGAGAATAAACACCAGAGAAGATAGAACTGAAGAGAGATAGAACTCTAGAAATCTGAAGAGTATTCATCAGAGTACTAATTGACTCTCAATGAGGAAACCACCTGAGACCAGGAAAGAACCATTCAAGAGGTTTAGAAAGAACAGTCCTGATGTTCGCACTTCACACAGAGCAATAAAAGTGCCTATTCCTACTAGCCAGACTAGAATACCTCATAATTTAAAGGGAATTGGAATTGAAAGGGAATTGGGTAGAATACTCATAATTGTCTTGCCTTAGCAGGGGAATAATTAGTTGTAGGCTAAATGTTGCTTTAGGCTCACCTAACAAATCTTAAAATCAAGATATAAGAGGATCAAAGTGTTTCCAAGTAACTGCATCCCAGGATAAAGCATGTGTGTGTGTGTGTGTGTGTGTGTGTGTGTGTGTGTGTGTGTGTGTGTATACACACTCCCAGCAAGCTAAAATTCACAATATCTAACATCCAATCAAAATTTACTGGACATGCAAAGAAGGAAGAAAACACTACCAATAATAAGAGGAAAATAACAACCAATTGAAATCAACCCAGAACTGAAACAGATGTTAGAATTAGCAGACAAGAGCATTAAAGTAGTTCTTACAATTCTTACAACTGTAGCCCATATGTTTAAGTAGAGACATGAAAGATATAAAAAAGATCAAATGTCTAGAGATGAAAACTACAGTGTCTGATATGAAAAATATACTGGATGGTATTAACTAAATAATATTGTATGGGATTAATGATAAACACACTGGATATGATTAGACATTTTGGAAGAAAAGAGTAGTGAGAATTAGCAATAGAAACTATCTGAAATGAAGCACAGAAAACAAGAATAGAAATTGTAAAGAGCATCAATGAGTTGTAAGACACCTTCAAACAGCCTAATGTATGTGTAATTGGAGTCCCTAAAGTAAAGAAGAGGGAAAGGAGGAAAGAATATTTGATGAAATAATGGCTAATATTTTGCCAAATGATGAAAACTATAAGTCCATAGACTTAAGAAGCTCAATAAAACACAAGCACAAGGAATATAAAGAAAATTACACCAAAAGCATATTATAATCAAATTACTCCAAACCAGTAATGAAGAGAAAAATTTAAAAAACAGCTAGAGGGGCTTCCCTGGTGGCGCAGTGGTTGAGAGTCCGCCTGCCGATGCAGGGGATACGGGTTCGTGTCCCGGTCTGGGAAGATCCCACATGCCGTGGAGCGGCTGGGCCCGTGAGCCATGGCCGCTGAGCCTGCTCGTCCGGAGCCTGTGCTCCACAATGGGAGAGGCCACAACAGTGAGAGGCCCACATACCGCAAAAAAAAAAAAAAAAAAAAAAAAACAGCTAGAGAAAAAAAAAGATACATATGGAGAGATGAACAAAGATAAGGATAACAGTAGATATCTCATCAGAAACAATGCAAGTGAGAAAACAGTGGAGCAACATCTGCTAAGGGGAAAAATTCAACCAAGAATTTTATACCCAGCAGCAATATCTTTCAGATATTAAAAACTGAAAGAATTCATTA